AATTTTAAATTATCCGAATGAGTTTAATACTTGTTAAATTCAAATTTGACATTCTATAATAAAGAAATGACCTAATTATTTTCCCTCTTCAATCTTAAATACCCATAAATTTGTATTAGACTATTGAAAATAATTTTATTAAATTTAATTTTCGATAAAAAATGTAAAATAAATATAAATAAATAAATAATCAGCCATCACATTATTATTATATTTTTCAGAAATGTTACATAAATTGATGTCTGCATACAATGCAAATATGATGATAAATGGTTATAGTGAAAATGTGTCTATGTTATCGTTGGAAAAACAAAATACAGATACTTTAGAAGGTATGCATTGTGTGTGCTTTTGTGTATTTTGATATGTATAGTGTATCATTTGATATTTCTAGTTGATTGCGATCTATTGACCGAGGACAATAATTTAGTGCCTAATCCTGAAGATATGTGTGTTGTGGCTATTGGCACTGGAAGTGGTGACCAAAGTGAAGACAGTAGCATCACAGATAGTGAAAGGTGATTACATTTCAATAAAAAATATTTACTGTAAAGATTGTTTGATTGAATTTTTCTAATTCTGAGTGTAGCAATGAATGTATTAGTATTAGTTACTTTAATATGTGTTTTTCTAATTTTATTAATTGTTTACTTATAAACAACTTTTCTACTAGAAATCTTGCACCAACCAGTGTGTGACCTTTTTTAAAAAAAAATATTGTCTAATTCGATTCATAATTCGATAATTACAATATCAAGGTTTTACGGAGAAATCAAAAAACAAGAAAATATATCAATATCGTTATTTTTTACAGAAATATAATTTAATGTATATTAGCCTTCTTTTAGACATTGTCAAATGTTCAAAATATTCTGTAAATTTTTGAGCTATTTATAAACATTTAAAATTGTTTCGTTTTTATTTGGTTGTTTTATATGGATACAATTGGATTGCAGAATTGTTTTGCAAATTTAATTTGAGGTTCATCATAAAAACTCAGATTTTATACTTGCTGTTAAGTCGAAGTTGAACATAATGTAGAATTTTTTTTTTTTTTTGTACATAGTTTTTAGGTTTAAGTTAATGAAATTCTAAACATATTAAACCGAACTTCATTTAGAATCATTCCATACAGATAATAATAAATAATTCTATGTATTCTAATTTCCAGTTCCTAATTGTGCACAGCTATCAGTAGTTCAGCTCTTTTGTATTTACAATTTATGTAAACTTTTTTTGAAATAATATAAATTTATATTTTATCCAACATCAATAAGTTGGTGCGATGACATTACTATTTATTGTTGTCATATCTTTTATAGATATACTGTAGTTTGACAGACTTAATAGTAGTTCAAATATTACTCTTAATAAAATAGTTTTGCCATTTTTTAATGTTTAATAATTTTTTTAATTTTTTTCTTAGAACAATCAAAGGTGATACTGTTGAAGATTATCAAATGGATTCCCCTCCTTTTGAACATGATCCGATAAAGGTAGTGTTAATCAATGTACCCAGTTTTTTGGATATATTTTTGAATCAATAATTAGTGATATGCATTAATGATATAAATTTGAAGGTTTATGATCATGGTCGATTAGATGAAAACTGGGACGGTACTGAAGATGATGATGATGATGACAATGAATTCCAACTACAAGAAAAATATTTTTTCAAAACAACAACAGTGGATAACAAGTCGGAAAATGATGATGGTAAGTCAAAATATATTTTGACGTGATTAAAATTTAAAATTGTAATTTGATAACTACTAATAGACAAAAAATATTTAATAATTTATTATTTACTAGCTGTCCTGTGACTACTAATTGTTTATTGTTTTTACCTTTATTTCTGTATTGCTAAAAAAATAGGTGAAAAGTGGGTAGTTTGTAAACTAAAGTGTTTTAGTATATCATACATTTTTTCATTCCTGTTACCATATAAATACCTGCACAATACAGGGATTAAACTATATATCCACTATAAATTTTAAAAACCCTGAAATTATGAGTTCATAATATAGTACTGTAATGTTGTTACTTTACCAAAAAATACAGAGATTTAAGGTTACATAAGATTCAGAGATGATGTTTGACATGTTACCAAGATTACCCATAAATCAACAACAAAAATAATTCGATTTTCATACTTAAAATACCTAAAAATTGAATGACCTATATACGAAAATTATCTATCTTTAAATTAATTTTAATTTGTTATGCGTTGACCGGCAAACAATAAAATTAACAAACAATATTCAGTAGATATCATATATAGGTTTTGACCATTAGATACCATATAGTCAACAAAAATTATACCACAAAATACCAAATATCCTGTGTCAGCTATCTTTTAAAGGTTTAATTTTAGTAATTCCAATAACTATATAAATCTTCTCCAGACCACATGGAACATTTTGTACAAAAAACTCCTTTAAAATCGATCCAGTAGTTTTTGAGTCTACAGACAGATATTCATTTTTATATAATTAAATAGTATTTTTAAGAAATATATTTAATAATAATACTCATCATTTTGCTTTACTATTAATTTAAAACATACAAAATATTTAAATGTGTTTTTTATTCTTTTTATGATTAGTATTTAACCTATAATTTTGATGAAATTTGTATTTTTAACATTAGCATACATTGGTTGTGTTCTGTGAATTTTAGAAAGACTATATGCTTATGTTGACAAACGCATGACTGTCAAAGAACTCAAAAATAAATTAGTGCCACATATCAAAATACCATCAGATTTTATCATTCTTAAACGTTACAAATCTGACTCAAAGTTAGAAGAACTTGCATTGCCTAGCAGTTCTTTAGAAGATTTAAATTACTCTGAAACTATTCATATCACAATGGGGCATGCTTTACGAGATGGAGAATATCGCGGATTCGTATTTTGGTCCGAACCTCAAGATCAGACCGAAGTATATTATTTTAAAAAAAATGAATTTAACAATAAATTAATCTTTTATAACTCCATACAGATTGTTAAGAAACAAATGTTTGAATATATCATTACAGTAGGCACCACAGTATTAGATACCAAAAAAGATCTGTTGGCGAAATTATATAAAACCCAAAATATTGATATACCATTAGAGAGGTTTGTAATTTGTTTTAGATTTTGTTACAACATTTGTGTAAAAAATTGCTATTATCTTTTTTAATAATATGTTTATTATGTAGGTGCCGTTTACGTAAAAAAAAAGGTAATGCATTGATGCGATGTTATTTCAATGATGAAACCTGGAATGAAGACATTGGTCAAGGATGGGAAATGGTCATAATAGATCTAAAAAATCGTTCCGAATTAGAACTGAGCAACACAAAACGACTTATGTTTGTCAATCACATTGAAGACAATGGTTCCCAGCAACGTTTGGTTTCCGAAATGGAGTTTGTTGTTGATATAGCATCCACATTGTCTACAAACTTGCAACTCGCCACCGAAGTAAACAGTGATTCACAATTATAAATTTGCAAATTTGTCTGCATTATTTTACGTTAAAATAATTTATCTAGATATGCAATAAGCTTAACATACCCGAAAATCAATTGGAATTGGGTTTTATGCATGGCTACTCATCTGACATCGTGTGGAAAACAAGTGTGTCTAATTGGTCATTTAGTTTGTCTGATGACAACACCATTCTATTTTGTCGGTAAGAAATTATTTAAATATTATTTTATACATTTTCTGTTTTTATTTTATTATTATTTCAAGAGTCCTGTTAATATTAAATGTCAATTTTTATAGAAACAGTTTTGTGGATTTGACCATATCGTCAAAACAAGCACCACACAAATGGCGTAAACGTAAAGAAAGCTCACTGAGGATACAGACTATTAACAACGATTAGACATTTGATGTGTAATATGTTATACAAATTTTAACTAATCTATTAACTTATATTTATTACTAAGGGGAGTAAAAATATCAATATTACTCATTACTTCATATTTTAATTTTTCTTTTTAAAAAAAAATATAACAATAATTTCATACAACCTCAAAACTGTTTCAATATTTGGCCAGAGTATTAGCTTCTTTTTTTTTTTAAATCCCATGATTTATTTTTGGCATTTAAAATTATTGGCTCTGTGATATGCAAGTTGATAAGTATATATATATTTAAAAACCAAAAAAAAAAAAAAAAAAAAAAAAAAAAAAATTTTTATTTTTAAAAATTTTTTTTT